AGCACATGTGTCCTGTGTTGTCCGCTGACATGCAGCAGTGTGTCGAAACATGGGGAGAAAGGGAAAGGCAAAGAGAGGTAAAAAATGAGCCATGAAAAAAAGAGAAAGAGCTGAACGAATAGAGAAGCAAAGAAACCAAATGCGAGTGAGTCCTGCATGTGTGCTGGTTCCCAGCCCTGTCTGGCCCTGTCAGCCTGTGATTTATGGCACCGAGACTGGGAGCAGTCCTCGCTGCCAGCTCAGTATTGTTACAACTGACAGCTAATGAGGCTGGACGGGCTTTCAAGCACAGCACTTAACAGAGGCCTCCAACTTCACGAGTCACAACCTCTCCTCTTTCTTTTCTCCTCTCTCTCTCCTCCATTTATTTCTTCCTCCAGGGTGGCAGCAGCAGCGTGGCGAGCTAGCACAAAATGTCTGGGGGTGCAGAGAGAAAACGAGGCAGGACAACAGAGATGTATGAGTATCACCCTGCTGGCGCAGCGCCTCCACTCTCTCCCTTTTGCACACCAGAAGCCCAGGTCTGAGAGATGAGGGGAAATGCACATAGAGATCCAGCTTCCGCCCTGCTCTGCACTTTACCTCTGGGCCCACAATAAAAGCACTCCCTCGGCCACCACTCTGACATGTTTTCAAACCTACAGTCTGCCTGCAGTGTGCGATCTGTGCAAGGTTAGCAACATTTTGCAGGATTGGTAGAGGTGGGATTTTACCTTCAGCACCCCTGGCCTGAGTCGCCTGGACCACATTCTATAATCACTTCCAGAGTCGCCCCCTCCTCCCTTCACCTCCTCCCTCGGCCCTTGGTTTCGTGTCAGTCGTGATTAATGGCACTAGGGCCCCGGCGCGGCTTATGCTGCCAGTTCCAGCAATGTTCCCTTGATACTTAATGAACTCTGACAAACTTCTTTTCCCTTGCTCTGTTGTTCCCTTTACAGCCCACCTCCCTCCAACCATGTTTAAAATGCACGACACAGAGCTGCCACTGCAGCACACTGGGCTCAGCTCTGGCCCTATGCAAGTTTCTCATGAGGTCACCACAGCTATTTAGCTGTAAGTCCACAAGGCATCGCAGTTATTTAGGAGTCAAGGCTCTTAGCTGTTAGCCCGGCATCAACAAACAAACGATCGAGTACAATCTGTGCCAAAGTAAATGAAACATGATCTCTCTGATTGTTCAGATTCCTCAAACTAATTTGATTCTTTTATAAATGTCATTTAACAAATGTAAGATCTGTTTATCTGCTCACCAATATTCTGTAGTACCTCATGCAAAGCAATGCCGCTAAAAACCTAAAAGGAAAGGTCTGACATGTTCACGTGCCAAGGCAAAACATGTAGCTATCATTATAATGCATCATACTTAGAGGAATGCACAATGAAAACTAAACCAAAACAAAGCAGGTGGTGGTCTCTGTCTCCACCTGCTGTTAAGGAAGAAGAGTGAGCATTTGTACTAAATGTGCACAAGCATGGCTGCAATTCAGCAGCCACAGGGAAAACCATCCAGTTCAACAGAATCAAATAGACTTTATTGATTCCACGGTGGGGAAATTGACTTGTTACAGCAGCGCCAACACTTAAGAGAATAAGTTGAAGATAATAACACAGTACGTATACACATAGGCAGTAAGGTAGTGTCGTAACCTTCGACCACTAAAAACCACAAATAAAAATGAAACTTAGGTTCCAGAACTCTGCAGCATACTGTAAGGGACACAGACACACTAAGTAAATCTGGTGTTGCATGAGTATTGAACACATACTGAGTACTGCATTGATGTTGTTGTGTACCAGAATAATGCAAGTACCAGTTAAACTGATGAGTTGTAAATTCTTACTGCAGAGGGGATGAATGTTTTACATTTAGGATGTCTCAGTCTGCCTCTGAAGGAGCTGTCCATGGTCTCCACAGTGGATTGCAGTGGGTGGGAGGGTTTTTTTAAGATGGTGGTCGTCTTCCCCAGCATCCTCCTTTCACACATCTCCTCAGCTGAATCCAGTGGGCAGCCTGGAACTGAGCTAGCCTTGTGAACTAGCTTGTTCAGTATTTTCCTGTCTCAGTCAGAGCTTCCTGCACCCCAACAGACCACAGCAGGGTGGATAACAGAACAACAACAGAGTGATAAAAGGATTTTAGCAGCTGGGAATTAACTCCAAAGGACTTCAGCCTCCTCAGGAGCTGGAGGCGGCTTTGGCCCTTCTTAAACAGAACATCTGTGTTGTTGGGCCAGTTCAGTTGACTGTTGAGGTGAACACCCAGGTACTAAATGAGGGACTGCACACCATCAGAAAATATAACTCCACCTCTAGTCAAGATTTGAAAAATGCCATGAAAGTGGCCGTTGCCAGGAGGCACAGAGTGACATGGTCAAGTGTGGGGATTTCCATCCTGGGAGGGAGGGGGAGTGGGAGGAGACTGTACCGATGACATGAAATTGTACTAGCCCCATCCTCTGTAGGACTCTGCTGTGATGTTGTCACATGCTGCATCCATGGCTGCTAGCAGGGCCATTTGCTCATGTGGATGCTGGTCATACAGTAAACTTTCCACCTCCAGGCAGAGAAAAACTCCTCTATTGGATTACACCTCCTCATGAGTGACAGATGAAATTCACCTGTGATCAATTGTTCAATTTAGGAGACATTTCCAGAATAAAATGATAAAGAAAGGTATAGAATTTGCTTGACAGATGACTGATATTTGACATTTGATAACTAGTTCAACAATTTTGTGTGTAATGACTCAAGTAATGAAAGTAAGACTATTAATTTTATTGAGAGTGACTATTCAGCATCCATAAGTATAATTCATTTTGACTGACATGACATAAGCAAATGGAAATGTCAAAAAACAGCAGAGAAATGTATGAAAGCAACTGATACATGTCCAAAATCATTTGCAGTTTGTTCAGAGAAAGGAGAAATTGCTACTATGATGTGCACAAATGACTAAATGTTGTGGAGGTTGAACTAATAGTTATGAGAATTTTAATTCTGATCTGAGAAACGCACCAAAGCGACTGAGAAAAACTGTAACTGAGCAGGAGCTAGTGTGTACCATTTCTACACTTCTGTATACTTCTCCACTCCAGGAGATTCTTTCCTCGCTGCATTGTGAGGGATGACATCCGTTGTGATGTAGATGAAAATATGTGGCCAGACAGACAGAAACATCTGGATGTGCCAGAATGATTTACTGTACCTGTATGTTACAGTACTGTGCAATACTGTATGTACTGTTACATGTACTGTGTATTGTTCACATTTGTGCACAGCTCTACCAAATGGGTGATTTTATCTTTACATGTATTCTACAGTAAACATGAGACTGTAGCATATTTTTCTTTTGCACAATGCTGTAGAATTACAAACACTTCTATACAGTAAAAATGTAAAACGTACGTATTCAGTGACTCAGTTACTCCCAAAACTCCCATAACATCTACAGTAGCTTTACTGCACATTTCAAATGGCTGTACCAGTAGGGCATAGTGCTGTCTTGAGCATTTTCTGGTGTCACCAAATATTCTTGCAATGGAAAACACTGAAATTATAAACTGTCATAGTGAAAACATGACAAAGCCATTTGACTATCTTGTTCATAAAGATGGTGTCAAGACTTTTCATTTTGATAGCACTGACAGTTTCATTGACATGAATACTTGCTTTTGAGAAATGGATTATCAATTTTGAGCATGTGACGTGCTTTTGCAGGCTATTCTCTAGGTTTTGCAGTTTGCACTAAATGTTTTGAGAAATGCACTAACTGCTGTGCAAATGTTAATAGTGTTCTGAGAAACGCACCAAAGCGACTGAGAAAAACTGTAAATAATGCACTACAGTTTTGAAGTAACTTGCCCAACACTGGTGGTGGGTGGAGATAGATAGATGGATGGATGGATGGATGGATAGATAGATAGATAGATAGATAGATAGATAGATAGATAGATAGATAGATAGATAGATAGATAGATAGATAGATAGATAGATAGATAGATAGATAGATAGATAGATAGATAGATAGATAGATAGATAGATAGATAGATAGATAGATGACAGATAGATAGATAGATAGATAGATAGATAGATAGATAGATAGATAGATAGATAGATAGATAGATAGATAGATAGATAGATAGATAGATAGATAGATAGATAGATAGATAGATAGATAGATAGATAGATAGATAGATAGATAGATAGATAGATAGATAAATAGATAGATAGATAGATAGATAGATAGATGGATAGATGATAGATAGATAGATAGATAGATAGATAGATAGATAGATAGATAGATAGATAGATAGATAGATAGATAGATAGATAGATAGATAGATAGATAGATAGATAGATAGATAGATAGATAGATAGATGATAGATAGATAGATAGATAGATAGATAGATAGATAGATAGATAGATAGATAGATAGATAGATAGATAGATAGATAGATAGATAGATAGATAGATAGATAGATAGATAGATAGATAGATAGATAGATAGATAGATAGATAGATAGATAGATAGATAGATAGATGATAGATAGATAGATAGATGATAGATAGATAGATAGATAGATAGATAGATAGATAGATAGATAGATAGATAGATAGATAGATAGATAGATAGATAGATAGATAGATAGATAGATAGATAGATAGATAGATAGATAGATAGATAGATAGATAGATAGATAGATAGATAGATAGATAGATAGATAGATAGATAGATAGATAGATGATAGATAGATAGATAGATGATAGATAGATAGATAGATAGATAGATAGATAGATAGATAGATAGATAGATAGATAGATAGATAGATAGATAGATAGATAGATAGATAGATAGATAGATAGATAGATAGATAGATAGATAGATAGATAGATAGATAGATAGATAGATAGATAGATAGATAGATAGATAGATAGATAGATGATGTGAATATGTGGTGATTTGTGGTTTTCTCCAGCTGAGTCATCCAGCCCAACAGAGGGCGCTCTGCTTCTTATCCGTTAGCGGAAGCGTGCGCAGTGATAAAGGAAGTTCTTGGTTATTTAGAACTCTGATCACTGACTGTTAAGACTTTTTGTTTGGTTCTCTGTGTAGAAACACAATTTAACTATTTTTTAATCGACGAGCGGTATAAGCTGCACTTGGTCTGCTTATAAAAATGGGTCGGAGCCGCAGTCGAACGCCTAGACGAGGTAAGAAGCTTGAACTGGCTAACGATTTGTTAGCTTATTTCGATCGTTCTTATAGTCAAATAATGTCCTAAAAGCGTGTTTCTATGTTTAAACTACGACTAGCTAAGGTGTTAATCGCCAGCGAACACATTTTACTTCCTAATTGTGATTTTTTTAGTCATTCAAATACCTCAAATGAAAGACTTGTAGGTCCCCAGAAGCTTCTAGATCCGCGCATCATAAAGGCCCGGTGCCCTGGTCCGCTGAGCCGTTCAAACAGCTCATGCCTATTTTGATGAGATTTTCTCAGATCTCATATATGTCGTCAAACCAGCAACTTCTGAAATTCTGTTTAGTTTCCTCGAACCAGAATAAACCATGGCAGTTCTGAGCTAGTTAGTTTATATTGTAGAAATCAAATTATCATATTGTTTTCATCAGTTTTGAATCACTAAGAGAGTCACATCAAATATTTTCTCACATCTTCTCGTAATTAATAATAATAATAATGCATTGAACTTATACAGCGCTTTTCTAGACACCCAAAGACGCTTTCACAAACTCTCACATTCACACACACACTGCTAGTGATGGTGAGCTACTTGTAGCCACAGCCGCCCTGGGGAGGTCTGACAGAGGCGAGACTGCCATTTGGCGCCGTCGGCCCCTCTGACCACCACTAACACAGGCAAGTTGGGTGAAGTGTCTTGCCCAAGGACACAACAGCAGGATACCCCTGGCGGGAGCTGGAATCTAACCCATGACCCTCCGATCATGAGGCAGCCCGCTCTACCACCTGAGCTACTGCTGCCCCAATTAGGTTCCAAGCCCAAAGGGCAGGGAACCCTGTTGTGTTTGTACGGATTTTTCATTATTTTTCAGTATTATTCTTCTCCGCTAAATCCGTATGGGCGCAGGAGCCAGAAAAAAATCGGACATGGCAGTCTGATAGAAAATCCCTACCTACTCGGATTCAAAAATTCAAACCCGAAACACCTAGGTGGCGCTATTGCGTAGATCAAATAACTCCCTGCAGTCAATAACTTTATATGTGCGCCTCTACTACCCTCCAAGGCGCCAGGTGGGGGACGGGCGCAGGTTGGCTTAGAACCCGTTGATAACTGCTCACAGTTCTAGTTCTTGATGTTTTAACTATTTTAATTTTTAATCTTGTTTAGTTGCCCATGAATTTAAAGAAAGGACAAAAAAAAAGAAATAAAAGTATCTTGTATAGAGCCTCTCAAGATAAAAATCACAAGCTGCTTCACAAGAACAAAAACATTTTCTAAAAAATGATTTAAAATATGGTTAAAAATGAAGGGGAAAAATAATTGTGAATAAAAAATGTAAGGAAAGAGAAAATGAATAGGAAAGTGGGAAATTGGTGTATCCTGGGAAAGGCGGAGTTGGTAGAGCAGAACATGGAGAGGGTGGTGATGAAGGTCACACAAAAGCCAGCCTGAACAGGTGAGTTTTCAGCTGCTTTTTAAAGGAGACCACTGAGTCCACTGATCTCAGGCTCAGGGGGAAAGAGGTCCAGAGTCTGGGGGCCACAGCAGCAGATGATCTGTCACCTTTGGTCTTTAGCCTGGTGCTGCACAACCAGCAGGCTTTGATCACTGGACCTCAGGGACCTGCTGGGGGTGTAGGGACTAAGAAGATCACCAACGTAAGATGGTGCTTGTCCATGTAAGGCCCTATAGACCAGGACCAGGATCTTGAAATGAACCCTGAAGTTGACTGGCAGCCAGTGAAGTTGGAGGAGAAGCGGGGTGATGTGGGTGTGTTTGGAGGACTTGGTCAGAAGCCGAGCACAGGCATTCTGAACCACCTGTAGACGGTTCAGGGAGGTTCTGATCAGACACGTGAAAAGAGAGTTACAGTAGTCTAAGCGTGAGGAGATGGAGCGGAGAACAGTCTCAATATAACAAGATGCTTATGATGGGATGCACAAAATAAGCTTAGACTTCAACTAATTCCTATTTAGAATAAACTAATTTATCCCTGATAACTGGACGATTAACTATTAAAATTGCAAATTAAAATAAAGCCATTCCTTCATGTCACTTATAAACAAGGATTTTCATCTACAGCATAAAGGCCTTCATTCAGTACTAAATCAGGGAAAGTTTCCCCTTTCAAAAGTAGTGTAGATAGTTCAAAAGTCATTATACCTTCATAGCTACAACACGTGGTTTTTTTTGTGCATCTCAATAACAAAACCTGTACTTTTCATAAGAGTTAAGTTTTTACCCAGAATCTAACAACAAAACACAGAAGGATGCTGAAATTTTAATTTATTTAACACATTGTAAAATAACTGGAACAGTTTTTGTGAACAATCATTTGCTTAAACATATAAAGTTGAGTAAAAATGAGAACTCGGAGGAGTGTGTGTGTGTGTGTGGGGGGGGGGGGGGGGGATTTCCACATGCAAGAGCTCCGAAGGTAGTCCTGCTGACAACTGTGGAGATGTAAGAAAACCAGTTATTAGTGAGATAAATGGGAAAGAAATGCTCTGGAGAAAATAGTCCTTTTGATTCCAGCTGCACCCCTTCACAGAAGTGATGTGTGAAAAATCCAGTCATCCAGCTATCTGGAGCAGTGATTTCCAATGCTGGTCCTCTGTGGCAGCTATCCTGCATGATTTAGATGTTTCTCTGATCCAACACAACATGCATTCTGTAGAGCCTGAGGCCTGCAGTACAGGTGAAAGAAGCAATGGCTCAGGTGTGGTGGAGCAACTCAAACATTCAAGATAGGGACCCCTGTGGACGCTGGTCAGACCCCACTGATCTAAAGTTACTGAATGACCACATCTGTCTTAGTTCTGCATCAGTGACACAGACGTTTGGCTTCAACTGTAAAAAGTGGTTATGAAGACATAAAATAGTCTTTTTGTTGGACTAGCATCAAATCAGTTGTTGAAGTATTTCAGTAATTTAGTCTTCCTTATACTTGTGTGTGTGTGTGTGTGTGTGTGTGTGTGTGTGTGTGTGTGTGTGTGTGTGTGTGTGTGTGTGTGTGTGTGTGTGTGTGTGTGTGTGTGTGTTCTACAGAATTTATTTAATAATAATGCATTGAACTTATATAGCGCTTTTCTAGACACCCAAAGACGCTTTCACACACTCTCACATTCACACACTGCTAGTGATGGTAAGCTACTTGTAGCCACAGCTGCCCTGGGGCGGTCTGACCGAGTCGAGGCTGCCATTTGGCGCCGTCGGCCCCTCTGACCACCACTAACACAGGCAAGTTGGGTGAAGTGTCTTGCCCAAGGACACAACAGCAGGATACCCCTGGCGGGAGCTGGAATCTAACCCATGACCCTCCGATCATGAGGCAACCTGCTCTACCACCTGAGCTACTGCTGCCCCATTACAACATGACTATACTGGCAAGGGACATCATTTGTTATTTAGTTAACATTCTGATTTCATGACCTACGCATCAGAGAGAAGACGATCTCGCTCTACTTCACGTGAGCATGAGCGAAGGCGGAGGGAGAGGGACCGCTCTCGCTCTAGAGATCGGGAGCGAGACCGACGCAGATCTCGTTCACGTTCTCCACACAGGAGGCGTTCAAGGTGAGTTTTTGTCCACCTGATAAAAAGCAACATGCACACATACAAGTGAAACTCAGAGGATTAGAATATGGAGCAACAGTTTGTTAATCTCACTAATTCAACTTAAAAGGTGAAACTAATCTATGAGACAGTCATTCCATGCAAATCCAGATGTTTCAGCCTTTATTTGTTGATGAAACCCCCCATTCAAAATCTCAGATGATTAGAATATTGTGAAAAGGATCAATGTTCTAGACTCAAGTTGTCGCACTCTGATCAGCTGATGAATCCAGAACAGCAAAAGGTTCCTGAGCCTTTAGATGGTCTCTCAGTCTGAGCTGGATTACTGACATGAATGGACTTTTGCACCAGATTCTCATTTTCCTGTTTTAGCCTGTAGACATGAACCCTTCTATCCTTTCTTAGACAATAATGTTTCCTTCCTCAGTTGTTGTGATCCTTTGTCCTGCAGCCGTCTTTATGCTCTTTGGACAGGTCTCCCCCTAGGCGTCACCGCTCTTCCTCGTCGTCTCCCATGAGACAGAAGGACAGACGTGATGATGAGCGCAAAGAAGTGAAAGACAAGTCTTCAAAGCCCATCCAGATCTCAGGTTTTGATTGTTTTCAGAAAGAAATCCTTTGTTCAGTTTGCTGGACATTTATAAACGTCTTTAAACAATGAGTTAAATCAGATATTCTTTCTGTTTTTACAGCGGAGGACATGCAGGGCAAAACGGAGGAGGAAATTGAAATGATGAAGTTAATGGGATTTTCTTCGTTTGATTCTTCTAAAGTGAGTGAAAAATGTGTGCATGCAGCCACCAGGTGGCGCTGTGTTCCTGAGTTGTGGCCATTCACCACGACGGCTTCATGCTTGCTGATACTTCGCAGTTTTAAGACTGTTTGACATTCAGAAAACGACACAAGACAGGAAGTGCACCATCAGCCACTGTCTAGTAGCGTTTGCTGATTGATGAACTGTAAATGTAATAGACCACATCAGGATAGCATCTGCAGCATGTATTTCTGTTTGTGATTGAACATTGTTTTCACACAGGGGAAGAAAACAGATGGATCAGTTAATGCATTTGCCATCAACGTTAGCATGAAGAGAAAGTACAGGTACGTTCACAGAGAAAAATATCAAGTTAGCCTGCAAATACTGAAGTTTAGCGGTGTCATGGAGAATTTTGTGCATAGCACATTAAGCAGAGAGACTTTTAAAATGATTGTTGAAGCAGCTAATTTATAATAAACAAAGTTTTATCCTGTTGGGAAATTGGCATTACAAGCAGCAACCACTATTAAAGTAGCCAATCACGTCAGCAGGTGTCTCTCTGCAGAGAATCCTGCTCTCCTATTGACTCTTGATGATGTAATCTGCAAGTGTTGAGAGGGAAGTTGTGATGTACTGTTGTTCTAAATGTTTTTACAGGCAGTACATGAACAGAAAGGGAGGATTCAACAGGCCGCTGGATTTCATCGCTTGAAAATGTCACGCTGCATTTCCTCCTTTTTCCAGCAAGGGGAGGACATGGATTACATGCTGTTAAATGTGATGCAGCAGTTCTGTGTATATATTATCACTCAACATGTAGCTGTTCCTTCAGTTATTTAGTTTTTGTTGCTGTGCTTTTTACGTGTTGTTGGAAATAAACTCTTTGAAATTGCTGGTGTGCTGATTATGTAGAGCATGTGTTTCTTTTTCTGCCCAGATCTGCACAAACATGTCAATTTGTGTTGATGTATTTGAGGAGTCGTCACTAGTACCAGAGACCAGGGAGCTTCGTCTAATCCAATGTCTCCTCTGGACAGAGATACCTGGGGTCGTTCCTGAGATCGGCTGGAGCCACTAGTCCAGTTGAAAACTCAAATGTGTCAAAAGATCTTCACATATTGTGAGTTTTCTGTAAATGTGAAAGCTTTTGTCAGATTACTGCAGCATCTCACAGTCCCACACATCTATGCAAAAGCAGAGCTTTAAAGATAGATTAAAAGTTTAACTTTATTGAAGTTTCAAACAACAGAAGTGTGTGTTGTAAATGTTCTTGCATTTTTTATTTATTTTGTATTAGGGTTTGGATTTTTGGTGCATGAGAGTACCTGGAAGGTACTTTTCGTTGCACGAGAATGATAAAGGGGTTGTCTGTTTCTTTCTTTTTTTTTTTTTTTTTTTTTTTTTTTGTTAACATATTTTTCGTCGTTTCACGTTGATTGCATTCAGGAACATTGTGTACTTTTTTTGAATGCGGGTCCGCTTCTTTTCAGTGTGCCGGCGAATGAACCTGGCGGAAGTGATGAGCGGCGACGGAGGTCAGTCAGATTGATTGAGCAGATTATTGCACTGCTAGAAATGTATACATATAAATTCTATTCAGATAGATTCCTGCATAAAACCTACTATGGTGGGCGTGTTGGACTCGTAACACTGCGTAAGCTCCGTCCACCCGGTGCGCTGGTACGTGCGTTGATATTTCAGTCTAGATGTTTTCACAGAGTAACAAGTTAATGTGTGTGTATGTGTGTAATAAAGTTTCTATTAAAAAGTTCGTGAAAGTGCGCTTGCGCGCACATTGCAGGTTGTGATAGGAAAAGTAAAGGGACTATCAAACCAATCGTAGAAGGAAGAAGTGAGGCAAACAACACCACGAGAGCCAATCACAGCCGTACACCACGAAACAGCATGGCAGGGAGGCGTGGTTTCTGTTAAAGGGACGTTGACATTTTCGTGAGCTCGTGGGCATCGGAGCCAATAGCTGAAAAGTTTACCTGAAAACAGCCAATCACAGAACGTGAATTCAGTATTGAGAAAAGCCGTCCATTATGGCTCCCTAGTTGTTTACTGTCTAGTCCACAGACATCGGTCTAGTTCACTTAAGAACCAAAATGGCGTGGACGGTTATCAGTTGCAGTGTGGGTCGATCCCTTTGAGTCATTGATGTTTTAGACAGCCAATAAAAGCTGGAGTGGATATAGTCAACATCCAATCATGTGACAGCACACAGCGGCTTTGTGTTACAGTACAGTTGGGAGCTGCTATCCACATAAGCCTCTATTTTGGATGCACTTTGACAAATTTCCGCCGTTCTGTGTCAGTCGTTACATTCAGCTAGACGAGGCACGCGTTTTTAGTGATAACCAGTACATAACCAGCTAGCCAAAAAGTCTGGAACCAAAACGGCTGGATTGCATCGTCAAGATAATCCAGGAATTAGTTCATCTTTTTAAAATATTCCTGATTTCCGGCAAGTGCGTCCAGCCTAACAGCATCTTTTTGTTTTTTGGCTGATGACTTGAACCTAAAGTCGTTTGTAGTCAGTCGCTAACGTTAGCCAACTTTTTGTTGTTATTCCTAAAACTAGTCAGAAAATACTATCGATTTTTTGTTTCGTTTTTATCAACAGCCATCTGTATTTCTTGAAGAGAGATTCGTCTAACCAGTGATACTAAGTCACCCAAATCAAATGGTTTAAAGGTATAATCTTAGCTGTGGGGAAGTGTTAGCGTCTACCGTGGCTAAAAGGCTACCACCAAGCCTTTAAAGCTGTTTTTTTATTCATCATAGGAGAAACCAGTTTCGCTTTCCACGTCTTTTATCGGGACCTTTTATTTTAAAAATCGATTGATTGAAATCCTGCAGAAGCAACTCGAAAACAACATTTTAGAACAATAAGTGAGAACAACAGGGAACCCAAGAGTTCAGAAATAGAAGCGTGACTACAGTAACGGAATCCCTCGTTGGATTATTGTAATATTATTAGTGTTATTGTTGAAAATGGCGTCGATCGAAATGGTGCAGATGTTGATCGAAGCAGCAGAGTACCTCGATCGCAGGGAACGAGGTAAAGTATATTTTAATTCTAATTCTATGCTGTTAAAAAACAACACATTCCCACTTCGTTCATGTCTGCCCATTATCACGCTGATCGGGCTCTTTATGCGTCCGGCAAATAGGTTTTATATTCTTAAGTTGCACATCCTGTTCTTAACCCAGGTGTTCATCGTTGACTATGATGATGACAATAAATAAGATTTATAAAATATGAATGGTGCAGTGATTAACGTGCATTGTGCATCTTTTATGAAAGGAGAAATCATGCAAATGCTATTAAAAATATAGGAACACAATGTTTAGTTGCAAGCTCCTCCTTTCCTTCTGTTGTGGTTTGCTGGTAGGGTTTATCGTAGTTCAGGATGACATCATTGTCCAAGCTGTGAGGGTGGGTGGGGGTGGGGGGTTTGGGGGGCACTGTTTAAAGATACTGCATTATTAAATCCGTTCATTCCATGCATGCATCCCAGCATAACACATTGGATGTAAGATGATGCAGATGGGGATGTGTGCAACATCTCGTGTCTCCCACCCTGGCTATGTTTGCAGATAACAGGACATGTGACCACTGTTGTTTATTTGCTTGCAGAAGCTGAACACGGCTATGCCTCCATGCCACCCTTCATCAGCAGCAGAGAGAGGGAAAGCTTGAAAAGGAAAAGCAAAAGCAAGAAAAACACAAGTAGCAGGTAAAGGCATACTCAGCTTGTTGAATCGAAAACCTGGGGGGGGGGGGGGGGGGGGGGGTGCTGCACACAGCCAGGACGCTTGGGTTAAAGGGTTGACTCCTATCACGTTTAAAGAATAACCAAGGCTTTCATCCGATTTCACAGACAGCAGAAGACCCAGTAAATGCTCTATTATTGAGTTGCATTAACACGAGAAGTTACAGCTCTGTTTTATCTTAAGTTCAGCTTTTATCGTGTTAAAGCGGCCCAGGCAGTCATCAGGTAAATGCAGTTTATCTTCTGATGGGAACTCATTTAGTCAGGTTACATACTAACATGATTAACACTTCCTCATATTGGATGCAGTGGATCTGACTGTTAATCATTAGCCTTGAGTTGAATTTGAAGTCGTCTGAACTCCAGTTTTCTAAATGCTTTCTGTGGCTCATTAAAAACTAGCAATAATTCTGCCCACTTTATTTCACTTCAGTTAAACAAAAGAGCATATTTTAAATGATAGAGCTACTACCTTAACCAGATTCTATTATTTTGGCACATATTTTATGTAACATGTAATATTTGAAAAGAGAAGAAGACCTATCCTCATGGCCTGAGTGTTTCTTGGTGCTTGGCTCTGTTGAAACTTCCTTATTTATTGCGTTTTGTTTTGTTTTGGTGCCGTTTCCTGTCTGACACCAGAAAGGTCTAATGTGATCTGTGTGAGTGACTGTGTGTTGTGTGAATATTATTTTTAGACTTTGTGTTGTGTTCTGTAAATTGAGTGACTGACAGCATCAAATATCAGTTTGGTTGAAAGTCAGTGGCCACTGGCGGAGGCGAAGTGGGTCAGCCAAGGTGACTGAACGAGTCATTTTACTGGGAGGCTGGTCCTGGTGAAGCCACTCACCTTTATGGATGTTTGTGTATCCAGAGCTTGAAACCAGAAGAGTCGTTTTAGTCGGCACTCTGATGTGTGAGAGTTAGCTTGTTTGGGTAATGGTGGAAATACTACTTCTACTTTAAACACAGGCATAGACAGTCCAAGTCCACCCATCCATTTTCTCTGCTTATCCGGAGTCAGGTCGTGGGGGCAGCAGCCTAAGCAAAGAGGCCCCGGCTTCCCTCCCTCTAGCTACCTGGGCCAGCTCCTCCAGGGGAATCCCAAGAGCCTCTTTTGGAAAAGAATGCCGCTTATTTGCCCCAACGCCATGGCAGCATCAAGGATCTGTAGGTCGTTTATAAGCGGTCAGACTGTGGTGATAGTGTTGTGCAACCGTGTCCTTTTTGCAAAAGATTACACAACGGCAGTATAAGTATAAAGGGGATATGGGGGCGGTCTCTGAGCTGCCACGCTCACAAGCCAATCATAAAGGTTTCTGTCCCCCACAGTCCCCGTGCTGTCTCTGGTGATCGGAGCTCCAGCTCTAACGGAGAGAAGCTCCTGGAGCTCCGCGACGCTCCAGGTTATCATCTCAGCTGATTCTATTTACAAAAGCAAAACTTACGGCTCGTGTTTACTTTCTGTTACAATATAGTTGCCGGCCGGAGCTCTGCAGTAACTTCCCATGTTATCATGACACCTCCCTCTGTTGTGCCAAGGTGAAATCTGCATCACTAGTCCGATGTTGCGGTAAGATTACTACCAAGCATGGTGGAATGAATGTCGCCAAATTCCTTCAGTGCCATGCTGCCATGGCGTGTTCATAAGATACACTGTCCAGCAGTAGTATGCTGATTTTCTGGCACAGTGTATCTTCTAAAAGGAGCTAAGGCATTCCCTGGTCAGTTTAAAGACATAGTCCCTCCAGTGTGTCTTGGGTCTTCCTTTAGGTCACCTCCCAGTTGGACGTGCCCGGAAACCTCACCAGGGAGGCATCCTAACTAGATGCCCGAGCCACCTCAACTGGCTCCTCTTGATGTGGAGGAGCAGCGGATCTACTCCGAGCCCCTCCCAGACCGGGCTTCTCACCCTATCTCTAAGGGAGAGCCCAGCCACTCTAAGGAAAAAACTCATTTCGGCTGCTTGTATTTGTGATCGTGTTCTTTCTGTCACTACCCAGAGCATGTGGCCATAAGAGAGGGTAGGAACGTAGATCAACTGGTAAATCGAAGCTTTGGCGTCTGGCTCAGCTCTCTTCACTGCGACAGATCAGTACAATGCCTGCATCACCAGGTTTCAAGCACCGATCCGTCTGTTGATCTCACGCTCCATCCTTCCCTGACTCGTGAACGTAACCTCCAGAGACACATAAACCCCTCCACTTGGGTCAGGACCTCATCCCCAACCATCTAGGGGTTTGTTTAATTTGCAGCACAAGAGTTTTTAGGCTAAGCTGTGTTGTTTAAAAACAAGTGAACCAACTTTATTCACACAGTGCTTCTGTTACAGCTGCGTTAGTTTACATTGTGATGTATAGACTAACTTCTTTTAAGTCATGTGTTCACGTAAAGATCACGAGATGTTTGAGCTAGCAGCCGAGTCTCCTGTTTCAGGTGTGTTCAAGTGCTGACTCTGGCAACGAGGAGGCGCAGCAGGAGAACCTGCTGTCTCTGCTAATGCAGGGGTCCTCCTCGCTCACCAGTAAATAACCCTGTTCATGGTTAAGGGTGAACTTCACTGGTGCTCTCGTTGTCGAAACCCAGGAACTGCAGACCGATAAGCTGCCGGGTGTTTAAACGGAGGATTAATTCTCAAGCGTAACCATAACACTGAGCATTAGTAACGTGTTGTGGTTTAGTTCTTTTGTATTTTTCTGATTTCAATACAAAAAACCATGAATCTATGCAGCGATATAAAAGCATCACCGATGCTTCTGTCCCGTATTTGAGTGACTTGAAGGGTTAGGGTTAAAGCTCTGGTTATACTGATGACTGTGGACACAAGGTCTGGCACAGCTTCCTGTTTATCTGAAGTGGGGCTGTATTTGTCAAAACTGTAGTGTTTGCACGCCGTCCACCAACATTACATCAGTCACGATGGTGACAGGTTTGTTGCCACCATGTTTGGTAAGAGACGAGTCGCACATGGAGACGTGAACATGCATTTAACTGGGATCGTATTAATATACTGATGGGACCAACTGGCGTTTCTCGCTTTGGCCCATTGAGTGTTTTTTAAGTTGGAGGACAACTTGTTTGTTAAGCTGACACGACTTTGTCATTGTCTGTGAGCGCCTTTAGAGGATGGCAGCCATGCTTGTAGTCTGAATGTTCTGCTTTGGTCAAATAATTAATAAATAGGCAGACCAGCAACACTGATGAATAAATGAATGAATGCATCTTCATCTGGATGAAAGGGTGAATCAATAGCAGGTTATATATCTTTAGTTCGTAAAATGCTGAGCTGCCATGTTTATCTGTGTATCGGAGCCATTGGATGTAAATTCTCTGCTGCTTCCTGACACTTGAATGTGTGAATAGAGGGGGAGGGGATCTCTCTGCTGCACACACATGTGTGAGTAGTGGTGGCTCCCCTTCATCTTCTTCTCTCTCTGTAGCACTCCTACCATTTCTCTTCCTCCATCCTCCTCTCCTCCATGTTTCTGTGCTCTCCGATTCCTCCAGCATTTGGTATTCAGCAGAGAGAACCAGCACCTTCAATCCAAACTCAAAGAAAGAAGACACCCCCTGCCAGTTGTGCATGTTGCTTCAGAGTATCTTGGTGAACATAGTTGTCTATGTCCATCATCATGTATAGTTCAGGATTATGGGGTTAATTAAGGATCATCTGGAAGGATCTCCCTGAGCCAAATGACAGGAATGGTTCTGGAACATTCCAGTGTGACCAGTCCGGTTTTCTCCCATTTAGGACATAGAGATGAACAAGCCTGCTCAGTGATGTCCAGAATCTGTTAAAACTTGCAGGTGAAGAGTATGTGTGCTCCGTATGTGACGTTATTAAGGCCAGAATTAAAAAGCACCTTTACATCTACTGCTTTTCCCCAGTTACCAGGTAATGTACCGTGTGAAGCTATCACCTCACTGCCGTTTTACATGGATGCAGAGGAAACACGTGTGTTAGAACAAGAGAATTCAAGTTTAAAAACTTTTACAGTTTAGCACAAGACCATTTGTTTAGTTTGTGATGGGTTCAGGCGTGGTCAGTGACCAAACTATCAGTCGACACGAAAAAAACCCGGATTAGGACAGATTACAGCTCAGGTTAGGGTTGTGAATGCAGAACTCCTTTCTTCCACAACTTGCCCTGACATCAGACGAGCTGGACTGTGATGGTGGCCAGGTGGATGTGAGATTAGAGCAGGAGACAACACACTCCAGAGCCAGAACTCGAGCCTGAACACGTAGGATCTGTTGTCTGCCAGCGCTGTTATGTCACTGCTGGCTGTGTGCCCTGCACAGGCAAGTACACTGGCACCTTCAGTGACACACACACACACACATACACACACACACATACACACACACACACACACACACACACACACACACACACACACACACACACACACACACACACACACACCAGAGAAACAGGGTGGGCTCCCAGCCTCGTTCTTTTCTTTCTTTACTCGTCATCTGAGGGTATTTCTGACAGGAAGATGTTGAATGTGGAAACAACTTCTGTTTGCGTGGAAGCGACTGAGTTAGAACGGTGACAGCACAGGGTCCAGCACTGCTGAAGACGCTGAGGTTATTTCGGGAGTGCGAGGGGGGGTGGGGGGGGTTCAGGGGTCAGGTGGAGAAGACGTTAAGAATGATGGGGGAGGATCTTCATATGCTGCACTCACCCCTCACCCCCTGTCTTAGTGTCTTTTACACCTCTGTTCCACAGGTCAGACATCAAATCTTCTCCAAAATTCCAAAACTTGACTTGACTTTGTAGCTGCGTCTGCTCTGATAGCGTTTGTGTGAATGTGAGCTACTGCAGTGCAGGAGTCCTCCTAGCTATTATCACATCTCCATCTCTCATTTTACCTCACACACACACACACACACACACACACACACACACACACACACACACACACACACCCTGCTCAGAACAAACTGTACGTTGAACGGAGGGTTAGAGGCCTGCCTACCCTAGCCTTTGCTTCTTGGTTACTGTTGCTATGTTTACACTCAGGCCTCTGCCGTGTCTCTGTATGCAAAAGTAGGGCTTTAACAGGTCCCTCCCTTCACCGCTCAATTAAAACAAACACGGCAAAAAGGACCTTGGTGCAGGAAGATAACCAGAGCGATAAGGTATCTATTACAGAATAAAATCTTTGCATCCTCTGCAGCAGGGTTAGTGCAGAAGTCACCTGGTCAATTTGGTGAAAACACAAATGTTTTTCACAGAATCAGTAAAATCATAGCTCGTAATCTAAATTAGGATTATTTAGGTTTGGGGTTTTAACCTGAGTACACACCTGGTTAACAGATACAGTTCCTCAGCTGCTTCTTCTTAAATACGGCTCGTTTAGTCATTCATTATAAATGTATGTTTTATAGAGTCTTTCATGGCCCACGGTAGATTAAAGCTTTCTGTTTACAGAAAAATATATTGAAAAATATATTTATTAACAATACATTGAATTTCATAATGTTTGAATTTCTGTTTTGTCTTTATTAATAGGATAAAATTACAGCTCATACTGTTTATCAATGGATTATGATGAATGATTTACTGTAAAACTTTATTTATATCATAGTAAAATGTATTTGCCAGGATAATACTGGCAAATATATCAATGTCAATCAATATCAATATATACAATATTTGTAATAATATATAAGGATTTGCTGCTTTCTTTATATTCAAATATATGTTGCACAATATGTTCTTGTAAATGACTGAATAATATAGCAATAAAATCTATTATGCATTATATTCATCTACTATCCTACATAAGATGAAGCAATATATTAAAGTAATTTTGCACTCATTTATTTTGTTTTATGTTTTTAATAAACGAAATCATAGTATAAAAATATCATATTGTGTATGAATATATATTGGGAGATATACTGGCGTGTGTGTGTGTGTGTGTGTGTGTGTGTGTGTGTGTGTGTGTGTGTGTGTGTGTGTGTGTGTGTGTGTGTGTGTGTGTGTGTGTGATAGTTTATAAGAAGTTGCAGCTTTCCGTATGTTCCAATAAATGTAGCAGAATATATTTTTACAATTATACCAATAAAATATATTAATTAATGTATTTTATGAAATGCATTTATCCGCTGTGCTACAATATATGAAGATATATATATTTACTACATGCATTATGTGGCCTTGCTCATTAATTATTGCTTGTATTCTGCTTGGATGATTTGTTTAGTTTAATTAAAGGTCAAATCAACTGATTTATAAACATAAAGAGCAAAAGGCCTGCAGTACAGCCCAGAGCTCCTGGAACACTAACCTGTTTTATTATTAGTATCATGTTATTTTGCTTCTGACGTTGTTTTATTTTGTTTCTGCAGGTCTACACACAATGAAATGGAAAAGAACCGGTATGTAATTGTCTTCCTGTCTGTCTGTTTCTCCATGTTTGTGCTGTTCTTGAATCCTTGAATACAGAAACATGGATTAGGGTTAGGATAGCAAAGCTAGGAATCTGGATGGCGCTGTTGAAAGATGGAGTCTGAAGCTGAGTAGAAGCATCATGGACCTGATAAACCGTCACATCTGCATCACATAAAGCAGTTTTGGTGGACATAAAATAAAAATGTTTATTGTTTTAGTTATTTCTAGTTTCCACTGAAGCTGAGAAATAAAAGACTTGTGAACATATGAAGGTAATTTTATTTTTGGAAGCCATCTTGTATTCGTTTCTTTTAATTCAAGTGTTTTAGGAGCTAAAGAGTCTCGATGGAACAAAGACAAACTAAAGCGGCGTGAAGTCTGAGGTGTTTTCTACATAATAAAGCTCTGGGCTCTGTGCTTCGGTAGGTTTTCAGCAGCTGAGCTGTCGTTTGTTCACTCTGCCCTCCTGACACCGAGGAGGCGCATGCGGTGTCTGTTGTATCAGCTGACTCCTGGTAGCAGCTCGTCTTGTTTGACTAACAAATACACTCGTCTTCACAGGAAATCCTAGAACTGATAAAAGTCCGAAACGCTGCAGCTTCACCCATCTCTGATTAGACTTTTAATTAGGCCCGAGCAGCGAAAGCGCTGCGAAGGCCTCTTGTTTTTGCTCTGTTTATTAGGCCCGAGCAGCGAAAGCGCTGCGAAGGCCTCTTGTTTTTGCTCTGATTATTAGGCCCGAGCAGCAAAGCGCTGCGAAGGCCTCTTGTTTTTGCTCTGTTTATTATTATTTTTTATTATTCTTAGCCCGCTTTGAACGGCTTTTTGGGGACCTTAACATACCCCAAAACTCACAATATTTTGCAAACTTGTCAGGCCTGGTGAAAAATTTGATATTTTAAAGGTCCCAAAAAAATCACAAAGAAAATGGCTGAACAGCGCCCCCTAGAAAGTGAAAAAAAACCCTCTCCATAAAGCTTAGTTTATCGTACAGTTATGAAATTTGGTACACTTGTAGTACTCAACAGTCCGCACAGAAAAGTCTCTTGCAACCATGGTCAATATCAAACAGGAAGTCGGCCATTTTGGGTTGAAATGGCGATTTTTTGCAGTTTTTGCCGTTTTTAGGGTCCGTTCCTGATTGGATTGCTCGATCATTTTTCGCACGATCGTCTCAAAAATTGTGTAAAATTGCTAAGAAGGGATGGGCGAACAAAATGAGATGAGAATTCTGAGTTTTCGTATATGTTGAAGGGGCGGGGCCAGGCCTCGAAGTTTGACTACTCGCCAAAAATATTTAAATTGCTATAACTTCATAACTGAATGGAATAGAGTTACCAAACTTTCTGTGGTCATTCGTCATCCACCCACAAAGTAAATTGAATGGTCGGATGATGACATCACACAAGCCCCGCCCCCTCAGGACCAAAAAGATCAAGTTTTACTGTGAAAGGTCCCAAATTGCCCCATTTCACTTAATCACCACAAATTTGTAGCTGGTAACTCAAGACAAGTGGGGGTTGCTTGGCGTCACTTTATGGGAGTTTTCGGCAGAGGGCGGGGCTGTGGCGGTGCGGCGAATTCAGGCGTACCGCCTTGGCCTTACGTTTGCCTCCCATTTCGTCATTTCCAAAGATATCGTCACGAAACTTCTTGTGAGTGATCCTAGTCCGGCCCCCCAAAAGATCTGATGTGAACATCTGGTGGGCGTGGCCTATTTTCTGAAATAGCGCCCCCTAGGACCATTAAAACTGTCAGCCCCAAGCCATGCTTTGACTGAGGATTACGAAATTTGGTACACTAATGTGGTGTCTCAGGACCTACAAAAAAGTCTCTTGAAGCCAAGTGCAAAGTCGCACAGGAAGTCGGCCATTTTGGTCCAAGTGCGCGATTTAGTGGTTTTCACACACGTTGTTTGGAGAGTGATACTCCGTCGCCCTTTTCACCAATCACTTTCAAACTTCTGCTATATAGTCTTAAGACATAGAGGAAAAAATTCAACCGTCGGATTTTAAATAAGTATAAAGGTGTGGGCGTGGCTAAGCCTCAAACTTTGACCTTTCGCCACGCCACTCTTTTTTTCACAGCTCCTTATTGGACTCCTTTTACCCAATCACCAGGAATCTCTGGTAAATAGCAGCAGGCAAGTTGAGGTCACTTGGTCTCCAGTACTGGAAGGTTTTGCAAAAAGGCGGGGCTTTGGGAGCATGGCGAAATTCGCCATCACGCCATGGAAATACGTTTGCCTCTCATTTCTTCATTTATCGTGATATCACCTCGACCATTGTTGTGAGTGATCCTAGTCTGACCCCCAATAGAAAAGGTCAGCTTAAGTTTGTGGGCGTGGCCTATTTTCTGTATTAGCGCCCCCTAGGACCATTAAAACTGTCAGCCCCAAGCCATGCTTTGACTGAGGATTACGAAATTTGGTACACTAATGTGGTGTCTCAGGACCTACAAAAAAGTCTCTTGGAGCCAAGTGCAAAGTCGCACAGGAAGTCGGCCATTTTGGTCCAAGTGCGCGATTTAGTGGTTTTCACACACGTTGTTTGGAGAGTGATGCTCCGTCGCCCTTTTCACCAATCGCCTTCGAGCTTCTGCTATATACTCTTAAGACATAGAGGAAAAAATTCAACCGTCGGATTTTAAATAAGTATAAAGGTGTGGGCGTGGCTAAGCCTCAAACTTTGACCTTTCGCCACGCCACTCTTTTTTTCACAGCTCCCTATTGGACTCCTTTTACCCAATCACCTGGAATCTCTGGTAAATAGCAGCTGACAAGTTGAGGTCACTTGGTCTACAGTACTGGCAGGTTTTGAAAAAAGGCGGGGCTTTGGGAGCATGGCGAAATTCGCCATCACGCCATGGCAATACGTTTGCCTCTCATTTCTTCAATTATCGTGACATCGCCACAAAATGTCTGGTGAGTGATCCTAGTCTGACCCCCAATAGAAATGGGCATCTGAGATTTGTGGGCGTGGCCTATATTCTGAAATGGCGCCCCCTAGGACCATTAAAACTGTCAGCCCCAAGACAAGGTTTGACTGAGGATTACGAAAATTGGTACAGTCATGTAGGGTCTCTGGCCCTACAAAAAAGTCTCTTGGAGCCAAGCGCAATTTCGCACAGGAGGTCGGCCATTTTGGTCCAAGTACTCGATTTAGTGGTTTTCGCACACGTTGTTTGGACATTGATGGCCCGTTGCCCTTTACACCGATCACCTTCAAACTTATGCTATGTACTTTTAAGTCAAAGGGGAAAAAATTCAACCGTCGGATTTTAAATAAGTATAAAGGTGTGGGCGTGGCTAAGCCTCAAACTTTGACCTTTCGCCATGACATTACTTGACTTAATAACTCCCATGTGCATGATCAGATCTAATTCAAACTTTGTCTGTGTGATCACTGACCACATCTCAAGACAACGACAATGTGGACAGCTGACATCACCTAAGCCCCGCCCCCTGACAACAGGAAGTCTATTGTTTTATGGTGAAATGCCCATATTTGTCCCCTCTAATTTAATGAAAATGACACTCAGGTCATACAGTGTCTTCATGATGTTTTAAAGACCATTCAGATCTGATAGCTTTCCAGAAAGGGAGGGGCTTTGATGCCATGGTGAATGCTGGCGTGACGCCATGACCTTACATTTGACTGTAACTTCCACAAACGGCCTCCGATTTGCCCGAAACTGAATATGGCAATGAACAATCATGCCCTTTAGCCAATGAGGCACAAACGGTTGGTGAATGTTATATAATGTCACCAAAGCTGACCTCAATGGGACTTTTCTGTAGTTGGTCACAGCGCCACCTAGATAACGTTATCCTTCGATAACTTTAAAAAACATGGTCAGAATAGCATTAAAGTTGGTCACTGTCATCACACCACCAGTGTGGTAAAGATAGAGGATTCCCTAGTGGTGAGACATAAAATATAATGGTGGGCTCAAAGGGGATGCTGAGTCAGGGTGAGTTGCGGACAAGGTGGCCGTTAGCAGTTTCTGGTGTTGGGGTGGTCGACGTTTGTGTTCTGCGGACGTGCCCTGGTGCCCCGGGCTGCCGGCCAGGCCGGAGCGGCGCGGAGCTGCGAGGGCCGAACGACGCTGCTTGCAGCTTTAATTATTATTATTATTTATTATTCCGTGCGCGAAATGAATGGCTTTTTGGGGACCTTAACATACCCCAAAACTCACAATATTTTGCACAATTGTCAGGCCTGGTGAAAAATTTGATATTTTAAAGGTCCCAAAAAAATCGCAAAGAAAATGGCTGAACAGCGCCCCCTACAAAGTGAAAAAAACCCCTCTCCATAAAGCTTAGTTTATCGTACAGTTATGAAATTTGGTACACTTGTAGTACTCAACAGTCCGCACAGAAAAGTCTCTTGCAAGCATGGTCAATATCAAACAGGAAGTCGGCCATTTTGGGATGAAATGGCGATTTTTGGCCGTTTTTGCCGTTTTTAGGGTCAGTCTCTGATTGGATTGCTCGATCAATTTTCGCACGATCGTCTCAAAAATGGTATAAAATTGCTCAGAAGAAATGGCTGAACAAAATGAGACAAGGATTCTGAGTTTTCGTATATGCTGAAGGGGCGGGGCCAGGCCTCGAAGTTTGACTACTCGCCAAAAAAATTAAAACTGCTATAACTTCATAATTGAATGGAATAGAGTTACCAAACTTTCTGTGGTCATTTGTCATCCTCCCACAAAGTAAAATGAATGGTCGGATGATGACATCACACAAGCCCCGCCCCCTCAGGACCAAAAAGGTCAAGTTTTACTATGAAAGGTCCCAAATGGCCCCATTTCACTCAATCCCCACAAATTTGTAACTGTTAACTCAAGACAAGTGGGGGTTGCTTGGCGTCACTTTATGAGAGTTTTCGACAGAGGGCGGGGCTGTGGCGGCGCGGCGAAGTCAGGCGTACCGCCGTGGCCTTACGTTTGCCTCCCATTTCGTCATTTCTAAAAATATCGTCAC